TCCCCCTATCTTTCCCTCTCACCCCTCCCCCTTTCTCTCTCCTGATCTCTCAGTTTCTCTCGTTCTCTCGTATGCAGCTCTGCTCGGGTGTGTTTGGCGCCGCTTCTGCACCCCCCCCCTCCCCCAACCGTAGGTGCAGAGTGTGTTGGCCGGTCGCCCAGCACGTCCAAAGTCAATCACACCGTGCAGAGAGGGGGGGGGGCGTTCACCATCACGATGCGAGGAGAGGGAAGGGGGCAACGGCTGCAAAATAGTAGCAAACCATGATGCCATGTGCGCGGGCGGGGCGGGGGGAGCTATCGCCGCGTCGCGACCACCACGGGACGGGAGTGTCTCAAAAACGATGCAAAGACTTTCAGAAGGACAGAAAAAAATTACAAACTCTTTATATTTTTGGGAAATATTGTTTTTTGGACTTGTTTCCGTTTTCGTAGGCTGTAGCGACCGGGATAGGGAAAGAGATCCTTCGACGCTGGCGGCGGAAACTGTATTAAAGTTTAGTTTATGTCCCGGCCTTCAGGATTTTGCCAAATTTCGCCCGACTTTGTTACCGTACCAACATAGTAGGCGGGCCCGGAGTCTTCTCCCTCACCCCTCACAGTACGCTGATAGGGCTTTAGCTGACTAAGCAAGTGTAAAATTTTAATAAAAAAAATTGCGTCCAATAGAAAGTGAGCTCTGGCAGCCTGCCTCCAACGGCAACACAGGGAATTAAAACCGCCCCTGGTGGTATATTGGATCCGACGCTCTCGGCACGGCATTCGCGCATCCTTGAAGGCTTTATTTTTAATCTTTAATTCTGTCCCCGTGTGATTTCGTCCTCACTATACTCCTTCTTTTTTGCGAAAGCGTCTCCGCGAGCTGATGGAATGTGACGAGTTGATTAAACACACAGCAGGTCTCTGGCCGGCGGCCCCGAGGTCCGTCAGGTCCCCGTCGGGTCTCGTCCGGTCCGATGTGAGCCGCGCGGACCCGCGGCGGGTGCGTGGCGCGGCGCAGAGTCTATTTCGGTGTCGGGAGGGCGCATGATGATTGCGGGGTTATTGGCACTAAGGCGTTTGGCACGCGCCGCGTCTGTCTGCACGGAGCCTCAGGTTCTGAAAGTTGAGAAACTATACTGCCTGTTTATTGCACCAAGGACTTGATTGGTCCCGCGAGGGCCGCAGGGCGCTCGTCGCCAAACCAGTGCCTCCGCCCCATAGCGGCTGATTTCCCTAACAGCGTCGCATCGTTTTCATAAATACTTCATGGTCTTCTTCTCCTTTCGAAAAAGACTCACCACGTTCAGCCCTGCTCATTTTTTCACAGCGCCCGGTATGGCGTGCTATTCTGCGTCACACGGAGTGCTTCTAGTCACATCTCACCGCTTCACAGATTCCTCCCATTTTGTAGTGCGGCGCTAATTTGATACCCTGCCTGCAGCAAGAGGGTGCGCATTCTTCTCCGGGGAGAGAGACGAGGAGGAGGAGGGGCAAGACGAGGACGACGACGAGGAGGACGACGAAAGGACGTAGAAGGAACAGGACGACGACCAAGATGACGTGGCGAGGACGACGACGAGAAGGGGTCGTGCTGCGAGTGACGACACGCCGCTGCCGCGCTGTAATTACATGACTGCTTTTCCCTAAAAGTAACTGGCGGCGCGCGAGTAGTGTGGGGGCCGGCGCGTTCGTTGTAAAGCACGGCACGCTCCTCCTGCTGCAGGTGCGAGCAGAGCAAAGAGGAGAAACAAGGGGCGTGCCAGGAGCCGCGCCTGCTCCTCCGGCGGCGGCGGCCCGGGGCCTCCTCGGCAGCCTCCCCCGCGCAGCGCAGCGCCGCGCGCCAACAACTAACTCCATCAATCAGAGCGGTAATAGCGGCGCGGCCCGGCAACGCGTCCCGAGGGACCTCGCCCCGCCCCGCCCCGCCGCACCTCACGCCCCGCCAGAACTGTGTGGTGCGACAAGAAGCCACTATTTACGCCCGCCCCGCCGCGCCCCGCCACGCCCCGCCACGCCCCGCCACGCCCCGCCACGCACCTCCCGCTTATCGCAGGGAACGGCCCGGGGGATGCGCACGGGCGTGGCGGGGCGGCACGGCGCGCCAAGGAGTACCCGCGGAATCTTAAGCCGTTTTGACCAGGAGAGTCATGGGCGCGGCGGCGGCGGCGGGGTTGGAGAGGGCGTCAGGTCGATTGCGGACATACGTGGGAGCCGAGGGTCAGAACGGTCGATTGCGGACAAAGTCTCTTTGACGAGCGGATTACCGGGACCCGGGGGTCCACGGGCCTGTCCGCAATCGACCGGGACGTGTCTAGGCGGGGCGAGTGAGCGACGTCGAGGTTTCAGGCATAAGGACCAACTAACTATAGGTATTCTCAATGTTTTGGCTTCGAACTCTGTGTTCTTCTCGTGCCTTATCATCGGAGCAGGTTAGTAAAATTTAAACTTGAAAAACAATTTAAAAAAAATTATTAAGAAGCAAACCTAGACTAACAAACCTAACGCAAGACATTGAAGTCAGTATTGGTGTTATCTGCATGCACGGACGCTGTGCGTCCAGCGTCCACCTGGACGCGGCACGGCACGCCAGGTCGACTGCGGGCAGACCCGTGAACCCTCGGGACCCGGTAATCCCCTGTCAAAAAGGATTTGTCCGCAATCGACCGCTCTGACCCTCCGGACCCAGAGATGTCCGCAATCGACCGTCCCCCGTTGGAGAGAGGTCGACCTGCGGGTGTTGAACCTGCTGCGCGGTGGCGGTGGCAGCGGCGGGACGTTCCCCAAGAAAAGTGCTTTCTACCGGCATGGCGCCTGAGGCGAGCGAGTAGGCAACCCGCTCACATCCGTGCATTGCGGTGCAGTATAACTGAGAAACGTACGGCGCCAGTGGGAACGAACATGCAATGTACTTATATTTTTCGATGCTAGCGGATAATTCCTATCCTGAGAACAAGGACGCTAGACACTATGTGAAAATGTACACAAATATGTTTTTAAATTTATATTTTTGAACCCACATCAAATCGAAGAACCTGTTTGCAAATAGAGCCGCGCTGTTTGTTGTGAGTGCTAGCCGGGCCGGGTGGAGGACGGCCGTGTGTCGGACCTCGTCAGTGGACCTCGAGGGCCCGCCCATGCTTGGCGGGGCCGGCCAGACCCGCGGACACTCCCCTGGGACTGGGGCCCCCGCGCCGACCCCCGCTGGCCCTCGCCGTCTCGCGCCCGCGCCGGCCGTGTCCCAGGGGACCCCTGCCCCGCGCCCCGCCCTGCAGGGGACCGGGGGCCCCTAAGAATACCTTGTACCTTGTTGTGTTCGGGCGGGATTCCTCAAAGTGCCCGCCGGCTGGGAGCGCGGAACGCCGGCGGGCCGGGACGACCATCACACGTGACACGTCCAGGGGCCCGCTGTGCAGCTCGGCGGGAGGGAAGGAGGGAGGGCGAGGGTGCCCTGTCCGGTTGCCCCGCTCCGGGGACGCGCAGTATTTCCAGCAGCGGACCCCTCCTGGATTTTATTCCCTGCTGCCATCCTTATTACCCTGTGTATATATACCGGGGGTGCGGCGCGGGCGCCCCCCGGTCCTTATTATAACTCGTGGACGTGCCGGCCGGGGGCCGGCCGGGCCGTAAAACAGCCCCAATGAGGGCCTGCGAACGCGCTGGGGAACGCCCCGAGAATCGCCCTGCAAAACACAGGCAGGCCGCGCACCACGGGCAGAGGCGCTCTCTAGCAGCCCCTCCTCGCCCCGCCCGGCGCCTGCAGGCCGGACGCCCGGCACAATTACGAACATCTGGACGGGAGGCGCGCGGCCGCCTCATGGCCCGCGGGGCCGGCGCCTGCCGCGGGGCAGGGCCCCGACAAGGCCAGGTCGCGACAGCGCCATCCGTGCCGTCCATACTGTTTGCTTGCGTTTCGTTTGTGTGTGTCGTGTGCAAGTCGTTCGGCACCCCCTTTTGCGAAATTTCATTTCCTGGCAATTATTTGCTTTATTTTTTCCCCCTCCTTTTCTTCGCTGTTCACCGAGCCCCTTTGGCCGTAGTAGGGCCAAGAAGGGGCTGGTCCCCTCGAGAAAGGGATCCTCCTTACTTTGGGCCGGAAGATAAACTCATGTCGCGCGTAGTAATTTCAGTTTAATAAGGTCAGCGATGGAGAGTTACGTTTCGCAGTTCTGCGCCCCGCCCGGCCCGGCCCACCCTTCTTCTTGCTATGCGCTATGCGAAAAATTGTGCCAGGGGTGAGAGCTATGGAGTGAAAGTTAACTCTCTCCTGCTCCTCCTCCCGCCCGCTGCGCGCTAGTGCATAAACTTTAGCCGCCTGTAGTGCGGGGGCCTCGAGGACGTGCGGAGGGGCAGAGCGAGAGCGGCGGTGGGTCTACCGGCGGCCTCTGCTCACACACCAGTCTTTTTCTTCGTGTTCTAATTTCGCTCGAATTTTCTTCTGTTTCCAGCGTGCAACTGCAACGGCCACGCGCGCAAGTGCCGCTTCAACATGGAGCTGTGGAAGCTGTCGGGCCGCGTGTCCGGCGGCGTGTGCCTCAAGTGCAGGCACTTCACCGCGGGCCGCCACTGCCACTACTGCCGCGAGGGCTACTACCGGGACGCCTCCAAGCCCATCACGCACAGGAAGGCCTGCAAACGTGAGTAACTCGCCCCTTTTCCCCCTTGTCGCGCCGTGCAGCTTGGCACCCTCTGCCGCCGCCTCCCCCGTGTTGGTCCTGGGGTGGGTGTCACCGCCTCGGCCCCGGCCGGGCCCCGCCTGGGAGGGGAGGTGGCCGGGCATACAGTACCCTGTTTGCCGAGGGAGTCGGCCGGCTCGGCCCGGGCCCGGGCCCGGGCCGCCCCTTCGGTTGTCAAAGCGTCGCTAAGCGAGCAGCTCGGAGCAGGGATATTACAACGCCGACCTCGCCCCGTCCCGCCGCTCGGCAAATATCGGGCCTTGGGGGCGAAAGGCGATGCTGCCGCTAAGTGTCAACCAGCGTCACAGGGCAGGTGGAGAAACATTTTACCGGGCCCGGGGAGACTCTCCCCCTCCCCGTCCCCCGACCGGCCTTTGCTTTTCCTCTGGGGAGGCAGCGCAGCCCCGCCCGCCTCGCTGTCTCGGCTAGATTGCGAGGAATATTCGTGGATAGGCGACGCAGCAGGGGCGGGGCGGGGGAGTCAAGTGCGGGGGCTCCGTTTCTCTGAGGTTTCCGACTTTAGGTTCGGATCACGGCGCGGCGCTGAGCCGGGCGGCCCCTCGTGGGGAGCGCAGCGAGAGCGCCGGGGACCACTCACTGGGGGACGCTCAAGAGAATTGCCCTCCGCGCGCCGGGCCATCCCGTGGGGGCCGTGGTGGCCGTGGCGGCAGGAGAGAGAGAGAGAGGGGTCCTTGGTTCCTCCATCGGCCGCACGGCGTCACCCTCGTGTCCTCCCCGGTGTCCGCCCCGCCGACGACCTTTGCCTTGAGGTGGGCGGGGGCGGAGTGGTGGTGGCGGGGCGGTGCGGGGGAGCTCGTCTCGGCGGAAGCGCCCTGCCCAGGGAGATTGAAAAATTTTGTTGCGCCGTTGGTCCAGGGAAGGCGGCAGGAAGCGAAGGTTTCCTCGCCGTGAGATTGCTGCCCCGCTCCGCCCTATCCCCCGCCCCCCGCGCCTGTGTGCGTGGGCAGCTCCTGGCTGACGGGTGGATTCCAGATTCCACCTCCCTAGCTCCGCCGGTGACCTTGCGCGGGTGACAGCGCGGTGGTCCGCCATGCCCGGGGGCTACCCGGCCGGCCCGCCCATAAACCCCGTGCCTTTGCCTCCCCTCCGCTCTGCTACGCTCCTCGACTAATTCTCACCAATTTTCCCTCTCGCTGGGAGTATCCGCTGCCCGGCCCCGCCGCCGGGCGGTGCGGAGGCGGTGCGGGGGTGGGGGTGGGGCCCCACTTGTTTGTCCCCGGAGGGGCGGAGTGGGGCCGCGAGTGGTACATAGTGGGGGAGGGGCCTTATCACACCCTGAAGGTGACGAGAATTCAGGAAATTAGTTTAACGCCCCGGGCGCCGCGCGCCGAGACGCTAGCGGGTGGAGAGCGGGCAACGGCCCCGAGGTGGAGGAGCTGGGGAGGGGGTGAAACCCGGCGCGGCCGTGGCGGTTGGGTTGCCTACCCGTCGTCCGGCGGGCGCTGGGCCGGGCCGCCGGGCCCTGCAGTGCGCCCCGCCCCTCTCCGCAGGTGCACCAGTCGCACGCTGCTCATTAGATTTTTACCAACATGGTCTCCCGCCCGGCCTCTCTATCCCCTCCCGGTGTGCTTTTTTTTCCTTTTTCCTTCGTCATTTCATTTTTATTTTCTAAACATTTGTTTTAACTTTTCCATTCATACGGCTGCTGAATGCAAGCAGGAGCCGCGTTGGCGACCGACCCCCCGACCAGCATGCGCGGGTCAGTCAGAGGGGTTGGGGGCGGGTGGCGGCGGGGCCGTGAGTGAGGACGAAGGGAGGGGGCGATGTAAATAATTCTTGCGCGCACGACTAAAGAGAGGTATGTTTGTGCTCGCTGTTCCTAATTACCGACTCAAAGTCCGGGGGCGAGCGCCCTCGCGGGCGGGGAGGGGAAGGGAAGTGAGGGGCCTCCACGGCCTCCACCGCGCCTGCCTTTATGCCTGGACCCCGCCGCTATGCTACAAAGGTGATGCCCAAAAGTCAAGCACTGCCGGCTCGTTGCGCTGCACGGACATTCCGCCTCTCGAGGACCGCGCCCGGCCCGCTCCTTCTCTCTTCTCTGTATTTATTTTTCTACTCGTTCTCTGTGCCTCGCGTATAGTTTGCTGCGACATTTCCGCACTTTTGCACGCGCACTCGGGCACCGACGGGATGGTCCCAACCACCACCCGTTGGCCAGGTAGGCCCGCGCGACGCTTGGCAGTGTGGTGCTGGTGCAGCTGAAGGCGGCCCGAAGCGGCGCCCGCCCCCGCCCGCCCCCGCCCGCGACGTGACTCCGACACGAGTTGATGAAAGCGGGTGGGCACGATTGTCTTATCGCTTGTGGATTTCACCCCCGGCCCGGGGCCTCCTCGAGGGGCGAGGGAGGGCGCTCCGTGGG